TACCAAATATTTACCAAGCAGGACTTGCGCACTTGGTGACGCAGGGTATTTTCCCAAACGCCAATCCGCATTAAGGGCCTCACAAAAGTCAGGCATATAATGCACTCTTTGTGTAAAGTATGACGGGGTTTGATGAGAAGCAAGATACGGCATGTTCTTATCCTGTAGGTGAAATGATTAGCAGTACATGTGCCCCGGCAACGGCACCGAAGCAATCATCTATCTCCTCAACTTTGCCCTGGCCGATACACTAGCGGAAAATTAAGACTTCAAGTCTATTTTCATCCCTTAATTGTCACAAATTCGGCTTTCCATCCTCACAAAAAAGTGAAATATCCTAACCATCAACCAAAAAAATGCTCCAAGATCACATACATCCAAAACACTTGGTGGTGACACCACTTAAAAAAGCAAATATGACAAACGCTGTAGCCTTCACTTCACAATACAATCCAAAACAAGTCATGCGAGATGAAGAAAACAACACCCTCAAATGCGGTTATGAACCAAAGGGCGAAAAATGAGGAATCGAAGGGCAAACCGTCCCAAAAAAAAGAAACAAAAGTGAGAGAGAAACACAAGTCTCTCAAGCAACCGGCTGAGATGATGCTCAAAGACAGGCGTTCACGTGACCTACGTTGTAATGGCTCATAATCATAGGATCGCTCACCAGCACACACACACACACGCAAGCACACTGCAGCACATATCGGTGCAGGCATTCGAGACCATTTTGAGTCTCATTGCTGTTCGTGCTGCCACTGACAAAGATGAAAGAGCAAGAGGAGAAGAGCGCCTTCAGAAAAACGCACCAAATACCGTCGATTCTTTTTCCAGCTCTCAGCTCGTCGTCGTGAGTCCAGGAGGTTGTAGGCTACAGAAGAAGAAAAGGGGTGAAAGACAAAGAGGCCTGCACTATAACCCTCATGTCAGGCTACGTGGGGCTTGAAAACACTCGAACTGTAGTACAGTCGCGTGTTTGAGCGATCCTTCAAACCGCTGCAATGTGGCGTGGCTCAAGTACCGTGAACACGTGCAGCGTGTGCGAAGCGATAAAAAAGTCAACTCCAAAAACGAAAAAGACACAAGTACTCCGCTTGAGCATGGGAACAATCAGACTTCATTCACAATTAAGAAGCATCAACATATTTAGGCGCTTGGAGAAGGTGTTGAGTCAACATCAAAGCCTATTGCATAAAGTGAAGTGGAATTTTCAAGGAGATGCAAGGGACCATTTAAAAGTGGAACAAACTTTTTAAAAAAAAGTATCCGTAGCAAGATGTGTATGGAAGGTTTTGGGTCACATGTTGGAAGTAGACTTAAATATTACCTACTATTTCTTTCCCTGAGGCTAGCCCTAGACGACATCTGAATTTTGCCTAAGAAATTTTTGGAAAGCAAATCATTCGCTGGCAGCACAAATGAGGAGAAATAGTCAAAAATGCAAGAATGATGCGAACAGCGAAAAACTCGTTGGGCTCCGATAGCTGCATATAAGTACGAACCAGATGTGGCATGTCAGTTTCCTGGGAGAGAAGGGAAAGGAGACACTGATACAGATTGATGATTAGCATCTCTCCTGGGGGAACCTGAGACATTCGCCAACGTCAATCTCACCAATGTTGCGATTAGGCGAAAAAACGACACTAACCCAGAGTGTGCTTAATCATTCACTCAATTGCACAAGCCAACAAGAAAGGATGACTCACTTCAACTGACAAAGTCATCTCGATTACACAAAATGGAACAAAGATCAGAAAATTGAAGGAAACCAGTCTTACAGAAAGAGAGCGATGGAACGATACAAGAGCATCAATCAACTTTCCATCAGGTGCACACAAGCGCCAGTTTGCTAGCTCCATAAACAATATCAGCGCTAATTCGTTTGAACTCACCAAAATCGCTGGGGAGGGCCTGTGAGAGGTCCTTGTAGAACTCTGTTCGATGCGCCTTCTTCAAACCTGTGCATAGCCCGAAGTCACTTAACTTCAAGTGGCCCTGGAAAAGACAAATCGAAGAGGGAGCATTGAGAGTGGAATAAGAGGCGAGGAGACTGAGAAACGGAAGTGCATGATACACACACACGATTCATTTAAAACAGATCGACGCTAGAAGTGATAGAAAGACCTCTCTCGGGCTCACAAACACACCTTCAGCCTTCTAAGTGGTGACACTCAGTCCATATTCATTTCATTTACATCTTCACATCTATTTTTAGGGGCTGGATCGGAAGCCGATTCAGTTGTTTGGTTAATAATGCAATAAAATGCGTGTTTGATAGAACTACGCACCTTGGAATCGAGAAGGAGGTTGTCAGGCTTGATGTCTCGATGAATAAAGCCCATTTTGTGAATCGAGTCGATAGCAAGAACCGTCTCTGCTACGTAGAATTGTGTTTGAGGTTCAGTTAGCGTATCCAATTTCATCAACAGGGTCATCATGTCACCTTTTGAGGAAGAAGAGGACAGGCATTATTCCACCAAAATAGAGCTACTTCCACCAATGATTAGTAGCAATCGCCTGGAAGAGCGCAAAACACGAGCGCCGCTCAAAATACAGTGCCATCGTGGATCTTGTGATTGGTGTGCGTAGCGACTGCTCACTGAGTTGCGTTGTATTGCCTGCTAAGTAGGGACATCGATTGTGCACCCATAGCTACCGCCACTGCAGTAATGTGCGGGTGAACATTCTCCCACCTCACTCTACCCACTGCCGCAAAGACAACCGCTATTCAGTGAAGGAAACAGCACCCGGTACTGCAAAACACACAAAGGTACATGCACATATTTGCGACAGGCAATCTGCAGGAAGAGAATGCAAATGCACTAATAAGGACGTTCCCCTCCTCTACGCACACGAACACGAAAGGCTTCTTCATAGTTGACTAAAAAGGGACTAAAATTGCATTCAAAATCGCATTAACTTCTGTTCCCATTGCTTTGTTAAGAGCTTTGGGTTTTTGCACTAGAAAAAGGAGTATGCCCAATTTTATGGATACGAAACCAAAGGTTATACATGAGTCCAGAAGCAATCACAAGGAATCGGATCATGCGTCCTCAAAAGACGTTTATTGACCCAAAATGCCAAAAATAATCAACTTCTATTTCTTTCCTGAAGTAAGTCCATTCATATGGGCGGAAGACGAGATTTTAGAGATACTGCGAAAGCTCCTGAAGACGTCAGCAAGAATAGCGTCTTTTAAGGTAAGGGAATGCTGCGCTGAAAGAAAATTCCAGAAGATAACAACCAGTGCCCCAGGTTTATGATTATTGTAACCACTGGATCAAAGAGAGTGAAGGGAGATGGGCAATTAACCCAGAGGGAACAGCCCCACACAACACTGTATGAATGGCCATCGCATCAGAAGTACGTATCCAGGCGGGCAGATTACATAAAATGAGGTCTTCCTGATCAAGAAAGTAAACCGACCGCTGACCGCGGTCAAGAGAGTAAAAATATCGCAATCGATTCCGCATACACGCACACCTGGGAAAAAAGCATCCACATCTAAGGAGAACCATCATTCCCCTCATGACTAATTATCCTCCAACAATGAAGCGCTAGTGAACTCATGAAATGGCTTGACAGCTAGTTCGAGTTTTCAAGGCATGTATAAGACAGTAAGCAGGAAGATAAGTAAAGCAGCTTGTTTAGTTCTACTGCACTCTGTTCTCCAAAGAAAATAAAAAAAATGCAATGTCCTCAAGCCGATGCTGAAACACTTTAGAGGGGTAAAGACGGTCATGTTTGGCCTTCCCTTTTATGCACGTGCGTCCATGCAGGCGCGTGAACACCGATGCTGACGCGCTCCCATGGGTTCGAGAGAAAACCGTAGTATTCGTAAACAAATTTATGCATTTTGCGGGAAAGAGGGAGTTGAGGTGCAAGGACATTGGGGCACGAGAAGGGAAAGAGGTGGGAAATTGTCAACGGCTTTATGACGCTGATCCGAAAATAAGGTAGTAAAATTTGAGTTTCTTTTAGGCTTTACGCCAGAGAGTAAGTTTTAGTGATGGAGCTCTTGCTTTCTACCGCAGCATTCAAGGTCTTCTACGATGATTATGGCCCAACCTAGCTAGATGATTGCAGAACATTAGAATCATCAGAATCACTTTCAGAAAAAAAGCATTCCAGGCATTGGCTTATTCGAGAGAGGAGCTGGAGCTGCTTATCTCGACCCAATACCGACTCCATCCAATGCAAGTTAAAAAAAACCAAACGACTCAAAATCTGTAGGAAGGAGGAAAGCACAAATGAATAAATCTTAGC